AAGTCCTGCTGCAGATATCACCTTCTCCAGGGAGCTTGCCCTGATCCCTCATTTGGAAATAGAGCCTTCCCAGGTGATCCCTGAACGCCCTGTACTTTGTCAATTGAGTTTTATTGTACCTGTCCTGTTACCTGTCTGTGTGCCCTGAAAAGCTAAAAACAATGGCATAGACGTATCTGATAAATAACAAATACTTAGTGCCTAGCATACAGTAGGTACTCAAGGTATTTTCAAATGTGAACTTAACTGTGAGAGCCCAGGAATCACTTTTTGCAGGATAAGCCTTTGTTATCTACTCAGAGCAGCTTTTTGAAGACCACTGTTGGGCAGTAATACATTTACTACTCTAGATTGAAATGCTCTCCATACTTGAAAGAAACAACTCTAATTTCTTCAAAGCAATTCCGTAATTTAGGTGTCTCACTGACTTAGATCCACATTATCACCGCTGATTCATAATTGCAAAGCTGTTATTGTGCTGATATTTTGAGACGGAGTGTCACTGTTGCCCAGACTGGAGTCTCGGCTCACTGCAAGGTCTGCCTCCCAGGTTCACATCATTCTCCTGCCTCAGCATCCTGAGTAGGTGGGACTACAGGCGCCTGCCACCATGTCCAGCTAATTTTTTTTGTATTTCTTAGTAGAGGTGGGGTTTCACTGTGTTAGCCAGAATGGTCTTCATCTCCTGACCCTCGTGATCCACCCGCCTCGGCCTCCCAAAGCGCTGGGATTAATGGCATTAGCCACCGCGCCTGGTCGATTATTCAAACATATTATTATATGATTTACATAGAAGGCATATTTATCAGTTTATCCAATCCTTTTTTTTTTTTTTTTTTTTTTTGGAAGGAGGAGTTTCCCTCTTGTTGCCCAGGCTGGAGTGCAGTGGCGTGATCTTGGCTCAATGTAACCTCTGCCTCCCAGGTTCAAGCCTCCCAAGTAGCTGGGATTATAGGCATGTGACATCACGTCCAGCTAATTTTGTATTTTTAGTAGAAGCAAGGTTTCTCCATGTTGGTTGGGCTGGTCTCGAACTCCCGACCTCAGGTGATCCGCCCGCCTTGTCCTCCCAAAGTGCTGGGGTTACAGGCATGAGCCACTGTACCCAGCCTTAGTTTATTCAGTGCTTAAGAAAAGTATTTAATCCTTTGTTTGTTTTCTGATTTAGACCTTGAATGACACATATACAGAATATTACCTTAATCAAAATGTATTTGCTGCCAGTGGCCTTTAGGTTAGGCTAGAGAAAGCTTTCATCTTTATCGTAAGTTTCTTATTCAACGACAAGTCCAAATTAGCCTCTTAAAAAAACTAAAAATAAAATACATTTCAAATTTTGTCACAAATATCCCAACAAAAAACTGTCTTATATTCTTGAATGCACCAATGACTTCATTTCTCCTTCAAATAAGATTGAATCCGCATTTTAAAAGTTGTAACAGTCCATGATCTAACAACCACAATAAATCTACCATTTAACATGTTTTTCTGATTTGGCTGAAGCCTGCAGACCAAGTCAAGAGGGAAAGATCCGGGGCTTTCATTGCCAAGTGATGGCTGTGGCCACTCTGATTTCCCATGGACTTGGAGGAGGTTCAAGTCCGCAACTTGTTCCATAATTGCTTCTAGCAGGCTTCTCCCTAAGCATCAAAGCCCTGGCTCATCAGTGATTTTTGCTGTTCAAAATGATAAAAACAAAATTCAAACCACAGATCTAAGGAGGATTGGAACACTATGGACCCTCTTTTAAATATTTTCCCTCTTTTTACAGATATCTTCATATATGAAAGCTTATGATCTGTAGGGGAGATATTAGAAATATATCATACAAAGCAGAGTGTCAGCAGGCTTGAAAGGGACAGAGAACTAACTATTACTACCATGAGACACTGCCGGGTTAGCAATTATTTTCCTTTCTCTCCTTAAAAACACACTTTCATTTTTTTATTGGGTGCATTCCCATCCAGAAAAAAAATAAATAAATAACAAAAACAAAAACAAAACAAAAACAAAAACAAAAAAAACCACCTGTATTTCCCAGTTTCTCTTGCAGTTAAATGTGGCCAGGGAATGGGTTTCTGATTAGTATGGTCTAAGGAAGAGTGTTGTATAGGACTTCTGGGAACACTCTTAAACAGAAGGAAGTACATTCTTACTTCTTCCTTCCTCCTTGATGTTGCCTGGGATGTCACTGGGAGGCTGGCGCTAAAACAGTGGTTTTGTTTCACGAGTTGAGAGTGATGGGACAGCAAGACAGCAGGGCCTGCATTCCTTTTGAATGGAGAGTCCAGGTAGCCTTGATTGTCAGCCTTCACAGTGACCAACCAACCAATGAACAGCCAACCAACAAACAAAAAAATTCTTTTTCAGTCACTTTTACTTTCAAAACTTCATTTACAACATGATCTCATTCTTAGAGATCAGTATATGTATATGTACAAATATCAGGCTAAATCTTGATTTTACGGTGACTATGTAAGGAAGGATATATTATCTCTATATTATGGAAGAGGAAACAAAGGTTCAGAGGTATTACATAGCTGATCTAATGACACTAAATTGTGTTCAAAAATCTTTGAACACAAAAATGTCAGCAGTTATAAAGGAAGAGTTAACTTCCAGCATAGTCAAAATTAAATAGCTTGTGCCACAAATCTGTACTTGTATTAAGTATAGGTTAAAGTATTAAGTGGCTAAATCAGAAATTCCAGGTTAGATCCTGGAACTTATACATTTTTACCAGCACCATCACTATACAATGTGGATATAAATCTCTCCTTGTGTATCTCTAGCTAAATCTCTTAATCCTTTAATCCCCTTTAAAAATTAAGATTAAAAGCCTCTACCTACTATATTTGCTACTGTGCAACAAGTTGATTTAGTATTGTACAAAGCACTGATGTCCATGGGAAATAATTTCTATTTAATTCACGTATATTATTGAATCAATTAAAAAATTTTTGAAAACAAAAATGTCAGCAGTTCCATATGAAGAGTTCACTTCCAGCATAGCCAAAATTAACTAGTTTGTGCCATAAGCCCGTAGTTGTTTAAACCGGCTTACAAAATCAAACTGCAAATCACTAATTAACCTCCTGTTCCAGAAATCTATTCTGTGCAGCCTAGCATTTGGCTGGATTGTGTCAAACCACTCAGTTCACAATTTTATCTTGTCATCCTGCTGTGTCTGCCTTTTAATGAAGGTATCTTTGGTTAAATACTGGAGGAACTACAGATTGTGCTGTTGTAACCAACTTGTCTAAATATACCTTTGGGCCTATAATCTAAAAGCGTTCAACCTGGTCATGTACCATCTGATGCTGTGACGTTAGAAAAGCAAATCCACATTTCTTGGCCTAAGGTTTTATTGTTTGTTTGTTTTCCTTTCATTTCCAAAGTAATAATTTGGACTCTATGACTTCAACGGCTGAGACCACCTCAAAGATTCTGGGCTCCCTGTACAAAATGTGGTTCTGATAAAGCTTAATGGTTATGTCCTAGAGTCAAACAGAATGGCTCCCAATCCTGGCTATGTGACTTCAGACAAATTAATTCCACTAAGTTTCCATTTTCTCATTACCTGCAGAAATATTTCAAAGTGATAATTCACATAGTGTTCTGTGTTAAGTTTCCTATTGCTGTTATAAATGACCACAAACCTGATGGCCTAAAACAACATCAATTTGTTCTCTTACAGTTCTGGAGGTCAGAAGTCCAGTATATGTCTCATTGCGCTAAAATCAAGACGCAGAAGGGCTGCGTTCCTTCTGAATCTGGAATCATTTTGTGCTCATTCAGGTTGCTGGTGGAATGCAGCCTCTTGTGGTCATGGAACTGAAGTCCCTGTTTTCTTTACTGCTGGCCCCCTCCCCCATCTTCACAGCCAGCAACACTCATCAGGGTCTTTCTCAGGCTTCAGGTCTCTCCTGCCCCTTCTGTGATTATCACAGCTCTCTGACCAATCCTTCCACCTTCCTCTTCCTCTCTTAAGGGCTCAGGTGATTACTTTGGGCCCACCCAGATACTCCAGGATAATCTCCTTATTTTAAAGTCAACTGATATGACTTCAGTCTCATCCTTAATTCTACCTGCAAATTTAATTACCTTTTGCCATGTAATATAACACAGTAACAGTTTTCCAGGATAAGGAGAGGGATGCTTTGGGGCCAATTATTCTGCTTATCACAAGCTCTGAGCATAATCCCTGGCAATAAATACTCAATAAATTGTAATAATAAATAATAAATAAATAGTAAATTTATAATAGATAAGCAGCAGTAATAACCAATACTTATGCTTACTTTCTGGCAGGTGTTTACCTAAGTGCTTTATTAATATTTATGTACTTCATCCACATAACAATTCTTGACATTAGGCGTGAACTATTATCATTCCCACTAACAAATAAGGGAATGAGGCACAGGAAGATTAGGTCACAGTATTGAGCAAGTAAAGGCAAAAATGAAGATTTGAAACCAGGTGGTCTAGCTCCAGAATCTGTGCTTTTCACTAAGCCCATCCTGCTTCTTCATCTCAATGTTATAATTATAACCAGGAAACCAGGGACGCCTTTGCTTAAACTAAATACCAGTAGTGCAAAATTATTTGAGTACAGGATAACAGCAATATTTGTATTTCTTTGGCATGTGCTGTTATTATACATCCTTCTCTTCTTTGTCCTGGGATGTGGGTCTGCTTCTGGGACCGACATTCCTTCATCATTCTGGTTGAGTCTTCCCAGTGATTCAGGAAGAAAATTCTTGTTAATAAAAAGTATTCTATGTGGGAAGAACTTAGATATATTTTCTGTGTTTCGATTTCAAAAAACTGAATACTCTTACAAAGGTATTGAAGAACAAAAATACCACTATTTTAGTTCTTAAAGATCTCACATGCTACTGAAATGCTATTTTGTTTCATTTCATATTTAAAACCTATGTTGACATCAGCATGGAAAGTGAGAGGAAAGTAAATGACCACTTTTCTGGACATCAGAATACCTTTCATGCTCCTGCACGCTCACGTCCCCCTTCTTCCAGGAAGAGCGTGCCCTTGGGGAGGCTCTGGGTTTACAATCCAAGCTGACCAGGCTGCCCACCTGCACCTGAACCAACTTCTTCATTGGATTCTTTGAAAAATCTGGAGCAGAAGCTGAAAAGCAAGAAAGGAGAGGAGAAGTGGATCATTTACAAAATTTCTTGTCAATTTTAAACGCCCATTTTTACAGTTTTAAAAGTTTTCTTTACATTCAGGGTGTCGGTGCTTGATTTACTTGGCTTACTGTGTGCCACACACAGGATAATTCATGCTATTATGTTTTCTAGCAAGTCTAAATCATCAGACAATTACTTTATAAAGAAATTTTTAGTTTATGGTGAAGATTTAAAGTAGCTCAATCATGCGTTTATTAAATACAAGGAAAACATTTGGTATAGAATGTTTTTAAATGTTAGCTCCACGAAGATAGGAATAGGGTTATCTCTCTTGCTAACCTTTAGGACATAGCACTTGGTACAGTCCCTAGCATTCAACAAAGCTCAGCAAAAGCTTTGAGAACAGAGGCTAAGCATTGAATTAATATTCTCCTACATATGCATATATCAAGTGCTATGATAAAATGTTTAAACTGTTAGGTTGAACTTCCAAACTGGGGAAAAATAATATTATGCACATATTATTTTAAATGCTATAATATTGCATGAAATATAATAATGTGTAGAAAATAATTACGTTTGCTAATAATTCATGGGATGTTAATCCTGAAACAACATTTGAACATTTAAGATACATAATATTGTATCATTTGAATGAAAGGGTATGTTAATTTAAAAAAATCACTCTTCCTTTTACTGTAAATGTGAAAAAAGTTAAAAACCTAGTGCATTTCCCAAATAGCTAACGCTGTGTCTTATGGCAAATCCCAGTGAATATAATTTATTTATTTGATCAGTGGAAATCTCAGAGTGAATCATATTATGTAATTATATATGTGATTGTGGTAAAGAAAACATGGCATCCAGAGGTTGCTGGCCTTAAAAATTAAAATCCTAAAAGAGTGATTTTTGTTAAAACAAAAACTTGTTTATATTTGAATACAATCTTTTGTTTACGCACCTCATATTTTTTCATACACAACAATCCCACACAGTACATTGAGTAGGGTTCCACCCAATTTAAAGATTGATAAACTACGGCTCATTAGGTTAATTTATTACAATAGAATTGCAGTCTTTCAAGTTAAGACTTATATGTAAACTCCTCCCTCTTTTTGTCATAATATACTACTTCTCTGTCATGGATAACAGCAGCCAGATTTTCAGTTGATCATCCCTCCAGGCATCAGTCCTCCTGGTACAGATGATGCATTTCTAACTGCCAGGCACTAGAGATGAGAGAGCTACTTCCCATTAAACCAGGGTTTTTCAATCACTCTTGACATATAACATTTTGGGCTGGATAATTATTTTTTGTGAGAAGCTACTTTGTGCACTGTAGGATATTTAGCAGCCTATCTGTCCTTCAGCCACAAGATGCGACTACCACATACTGGTCCTCTACCTCCCACACCAACCAAAAATATCTCCAGACATTTCTAAATTTCCCTCAGGGCAAAATTGTCCCTGGTTGAGAAACACTGACTTAAATCATGCAGGGCCTTATCACTTGCTGACCATATGGATTGGTTCAGAAACAAGTATTAACCCAAATTAGGCTATCTGGGGCCAATGGCATGCAACACTTTGACTTCCCTTTGAGCAATTAAGACAGCTGTCTTTCTTCCACCGGAATGACTGTGGTAATAAATTCAATTTGTTGGGAAACATCATATAGAACCTGATAATGGTGATGATATTTGAACGCTGGACCAAATTATGCTGAAATCCAAATTCTCCATTTTAATAATATGGACAGATGAACAAGCCCTCCTGCTCCTCCTCCCTTCCTCCCTTCCTTCCATTCATTTGTGCTATGCTATACTATGACATGGAGTTTTGCTTGCATTTTCAATCATTTGCAATGTAAATGTTCTTCTGGACAATCGTTTTAAACATGACAGAAAATTTTCTTTTCCTCCTATACCTAAAGTACAAGAAGATCATCTATGATTTCAAGCAGTGGAGCCTTGGAAAATGAAAGCCTCAATGTGTCCAATGTGTCATGCTTCTAACAGAGCCACTAAAGGCAGAGGCAACTCTTTTTGAATCAAATACGATTGACTTAAATTTTGGTATTTGCTATTAGGGACCGGCAACAGAGAACACCAAAATCACTTATTCTCCTAAAAGGCTTTGCTTAGTTGGTAATATTGGAGGTGGATAAGGATATCTTATGCCAATATTTGATTCCTACTGTAGATTTACTTAACCCTTGGTCCTCAGTTCTGGCCATAGTTGCTGTTTTTCCTTAGAAACTGTTAAAAGGTATGCCTTGATTAGAAACTGAATGTTCATGCTGTAATACTGTAGATATTATTAGATGTAGGAACCTAATGTGAAAAGTAAGTATTGCTGCTTCTGGAAACAATCAAGGATTGAAGACAAAAAATTAAGAGGAGAACAGAGAAAATCAGTCTTACCAACAACTTTGAGCTCAGCACTGGAATAGACAAGGCCATGTTTGTTTTCTGCTATGCATTGGAACATGCCAGAATCAGTCACACTTAGGTTTGATATGGTAAGGGCACCATTTTCTATCTGTATTCTCTCCTAGATGATAATAAAAATGTCTTTCATATAAACAAACATATCACTTTAGAATAAAAATGAACTATCATTTCACTCATACACAAACTTCCTGCATTTTTCTGAGAATATTAGACAGGCTGGCTTGAAATTTAACCTTTTCCTTATTTTAAATGTGAAAGACTAATTTACATAATAGCTATGCATTAGAAGTACGAATTAACATCCTTCAGTCCAAAAGTATATCATAAAATAGATAACAAAGCAAGAGGTAAAATATGAAATCATTTTACTTTTCTCCCTGCAGTTAAAGTTTCTTAAAAACGTACCATGACTTTAAAAAATGTTTTATTATCCCATCAGTTGGAAATGTTTTTACTATGTTTTCTCAAATCATACAAGTTAAAAACATTATAAAATCTGTGGATTAGAAAGGTTTCTGGGAAACACATATATTTACCAGAGTTTCTAGGTAGTATGAAAGGTTAGGTATGGAAATTGAAAGAACATAATTGACTTAGTATACAAAAAAAGGGCATAAATTACATGGCTTGAGAATGAGAGTGATGGAGAAAATAAGTACTTATGTAACAAGGTAACCAAGTAATAGATACATTCATTCTCCAGAGGCCACACCAAGTTGTCAAACAGGAAAAGGAAATGATATCGTAAATTTGATTAAAGTAAGGCTTTCTCTAATTTCAATACCAAAAAAAACAGTAGATTACTTTACAGACTAAATTCACACCAGGACTTCTTCCCAGTGAAATGCCATGCTGAAAAGCTCTCCTCACTGGCAGACTGGGTACTTGATTTGATATTTTTCCTCCTCTACCACTGCTTAGAAGTAAAAGAAAGTGTGTAAACTCAACAGTTTATTTTGGTACTAGGGACTAAAGAAAGCATCTACTAAACACAAAGTGAGGAAAGGGTGGATTTACCAGGCCTCTAAATCCATTTTCGATCCATGTTACCTTACCTCTAGCACTAAGGCTGCTCCATTTTTCAGCCATCGGTAGGAGGGCTTGGGCTTGCCACTTGCCCTACATTCCCAATAAAGACTGTCCTCCACGGCTGTTTCCACATCCTTTATGAGTTGAACCCAATGGGGCTTTGCTTCAATGAAAGAAAAAGGAGAAGAAAAGAAATTTTAAACACCCGGCACATAAAGTGTATTTATTATTTTATTATCTTATCTGGATTAACAGAAATGGACATGACTATGAGTAACAGATTGAAGTGAGAACAGAGGCTAGAATTATATTTCATTCACTAAGTATCTACTCAGTGAATGTATGAAACATTTCTACATTTGAGGATGGATGTTGCAATCTGTTATTTCCTAAGGCAAATTAATTATATGCTTTCTCTATTATCAAAATTCTGAGCACTGTATTATATTATTTAGATATCTATTAGTAGACGGTAATACAGGTACACAAAACTGATTTTGCTTTCCAAGTGCAGCTTCGAATCATGAGATCACAACTGATGATAACTTAGTAAGTGAATAACAGCATACATTGTTCTTAATCATGAACTAAAAATTAACATCCATAGGAGAGAAACTTCTACAGCTGAGGAAAAAATATTTTCCACAAGTTAGAAATAACTTAATTAAATACAAACCAGTGAGTATCTTGAGAACCTCTGAGTGAATTAAGATCAAAGTAGGAAAAGATGGATAAGTTGGTTCAACTTGAGTCATGTGATTTTTTGCCAGAAAAAGAAGTAACCGATGCAACTTTAAATTATGTATGCAAATAAGTTCCATCAAGTCGATTTATCATTTTCAACTTATCCTTTAGAGGGTATTTGGAAAATTCATTTTACAGATGAAAGCATTGTACCACTTACAATGAAAGTCACTTACTGTACGCAGTATATCCAGCCAAGTCTCAGCTTGTGTTTTAAATCCAAAACTGGGAGGTGAGATGTCTTACTGGTTTCACATTGCATTATGTATGTGATGTGTACTGTGGGATTCACATTTGCATCCTCCATATGGAGAAACAGTTTATCTATTTCCATTTAATTGCAACCATGGGAAGATTTGTCTTTCCATTTCCAGCTCATAAAATTGCTTTTTTATAAATGAAATTGAAATGAAACTATGGCTATTTAGCTTTTACAGAAAATGTATAGGTCTAAGTTTTCTCGTGTGTGTGTGTGTGTATGTGTGTGTGTGTGTGTATATATATATATACACACACACACACATATACATACAACTTGCTCAGTATGAAGTGTAGTTCAGTACCAAATCACTTCCCTCTATATTAAAACACATTTTCTTTTTCTTTCAGGAATGATCAGCCTGAGAGGGAATATGACTGTGAACAGACTCACACATCAGCCTCTTATAGAGACCCAAGTTTCTAAAAAAAAAAAAAAATCCCACAAGCTTCCCATAGTAATGCTCTTCTTCTCCAAATGGGAGGATAATTTGCTGGACTAAAAAATCCTGAAATCATAACTGCCACATCAATTCTGATTTCTCCCCTTATTCCATCATATGAGATGTAAACATTCTATAGACTATTTTTCACATGAAATATTAGAGCAGATAACCGGAGAACTGCATGGCATCTACTTAATATACTAATGTTAAACAGAAATTGCAAGGCAACTTTCATGAAATGCTTTATGGCATTAATTTCTGATTTATATTTTAGGTATGTATCATATTACCTACACAATGGACTAAAGCAATAGTCTGCCTCTTTTACTAAGTATAGCAGACACTGTTGGTTTTCTATGGTGCATTCATTTCCTCTCTTCCTTATTCCTAAAATAACCCCAATTGTTCATTCAGTTGTCTACTCTTCCATCACCTCACATTGTCTATAGAAACATGACATTTTTCTCTATTCCAAGTGAAGCACTTAATTGTCTAATCTAATTTCTCCTTGCCAGTGACTGGTTTAGGAATGAAAATGTAGCCAGTGAGGTTTGAGCAGGGGACTTCTAGATGTTTCGGAGAAAGGAAGGATGAGTAGCAACTGATGTGTTAGTCACTGCTGGCAGCCATTTTGTGATCATGATGGAAACTAACATGCAGAAAAAGGAAAAAAAATAGACAAGGGCAGAAAAACTAATCACAAAGAAACTGGGTTGTGGCCTGATAAGGTAATTAAATGATAATTTAGCTTTGGATTTCTTTATCATATGAAGTATACAATTGTTTATTAGTATACAGCTAAAAATATTTTTACTGAAACATTAATACAGTTGGAATATCCTGTGTGTTCCCATAATGGTCACTTCTTATCCTAGATCATGTAGTGGTTGCGCAGAAAGAAGGAACTAAGCTAGAGTATGAGAAAAGGTTACTTGGCTTTGTCAGGGTCTTAGCGCTTTCCTTACCCAAATTGAGTAGTACATTAAAAAAAAGTGATTACAAATTAAAGGCAGCAAACAGAGTACAGATACATTTTTGGAAGGGATAGAGTAACACTGAAGAACTCAACAGGAGCCAGAGTTCATGTGGTTTGATTAATACAGTAATTGCAACTTTTCCCAAAAGGCAGTTTTTTTTTTTTTTTCTCTCTTTAGTAGAGGTAACAAAAAAGATACAAAACCTGTTTTCTAGAGGAGAAGACAGACAGAAAAGAGATCTCTCTCTAATGTGTTTAAGTATGTGAGAGGTTATTCTTAGGAAAAAAATATGAAATATTTCATCTTTGCATGAATCATCTTAAAATGCAAAATGAGTATATATTCAACTTCATTACAAAAAATTATTTCTTTTTAATACTCCCTATGATAAATGTTTATCAACACTTAACAAAATGTTGAACAAAATGTTTAACCAACAAGTTGAACACTGGGATTCTGCTATAATCTCTCACCCCTAAACAACAACAATATTTTATAGATGAGAAAGTAAAAGCTAAAACTCCAATTTGCCCAAAGCAGATGCTCACCATAGTAAGTGAGACGCCCTCTAGCAACATTTTTTCCTCGTGAATTCTCAGCAATGCATTCATAGGAACCTGCATCTTCCTGTTGGAAGTTGGGGATTTCAAGCACACCATTGAACTTCCTTAATTTAATTTTGCTGGAAAATGGCAGTCCATCACTTCTTCTCCAATTAATCTGAGGTATGGGACTAAGAAGAAAATTGTCAAGTTGTTTGCTGTTGTCTGGAAGCCTTTTCGACTTGAGAAAGTAAAGCTTTTAAGATTGAACAAGAAGGCACAGGATTTTAAATGCAGAAAACCACTTCCAACGGTCAATTATATAAACCGGATAAAAGGATTTAACTTAACTCTTTAAGTTGATATTTTAATAAAATAAACTTCATTTTTCTTGAGTCAATTCATGATTTCGAGAAAAAAGCCTAATACAGACCCACTATATTAGATTACAGCAAATGAATAAGGAGGGGGGGGGAACCATCAAGTTATTTTATGAAATTAGGCAGGCAGAGTAATTTTCTTCAAATCGACTTTAAATATTAAAATTTCAACTAAATTTTATATGTGCATTTCCCCTGCATTTTATTTTTCCTTTGCCTCAAAATGAAAGTAAATTTTAGAAAATAAAAAAGAAGAGTCTTTCAAAAACCATTCTGATTTCTTATAGCAACCTAGTATTTCAGCACATAGGAGTAAATGTTATAAAACTTACTTTCCAAGGGCAAAACATTCCAATTTCACAGTCGAACCTTTAGCTGCTGGAAGAGTTTCTGGAAACTGAACTTCTATTTTAGGTTCATATTCACCCATTACACCTATAAATCCACAATATAAAGTTAATCGTTTCAACATTTCCTTTGGAATTGCCTCGATTTTCTTAAATAAAACTTTCTTTTGCTCCATTTTGAACCAGCTCTTCTAGTGATTTCAATTAAATAAAATTTAGTCTACGCAGCTCAGATTCCCTTTTAACAGCCATCAAGTTGTTGATGAAACAGATTTTTTTCTTTAATGACTTTTTAGTGGTGCTTTTTAGCCTATAAGAAAATATCCAGAGCTTTAAAAAACCTGAACTAACTTGGGTCAAACATGCAATATTAATAAACATTTAAGAACTTGGGATTTGCTGATTCATAGGTTACCACGTACAGAGCAGTTCCAAGAAAACCACTAAGTCTTTTATATTACACAAGATGGGAGGCTTTGAAATTGTGTATTCAATTTTGACATTGCTAGTCAAACTGAAATATATAATATATTATTGCTTCCTGAAATTTCCCTAAAGAACAAAAATTATGGCAGGGAATTTACTTAATGATACCCTGGTAGCGGAGATACCAATCTTAAACTTATGAAATGGCTCCCTGGAGTTAAGAAACAATGACTTAATAAATGGGAAAGGTCAAATTCAATTATAACTGACTGGAAAAAGTGCTTCAATGCTTTGTGATCATAGCATTACGCTGTATCAGATATGGTTCTGTGTAAGTGGGTCAACTACCCAGGCTTGCTTATGGATCTGCTTCCTCGGCAGCTCATAGACTCCCCTTAAACAGCCATCAAGGTGTTGATGAAACAGATTTTTTTCTTTAATGGTTTTTTTAGTGATGCTTTTTAGCCTATTACAAAATATCCAGAGCTTTAAAAACCTCAAGCTGGCAAAGGTCAGGATAGGTGACTTCATGGGAGTCAACCTGAGCCCTGGGCTCAGAAGGGTCTCATGCTTGGTTTAATACTTTGCCATTGCTGTCTTAAAATTCTTAATAACTTCTGAACAAGGGGCCACTCATTTTTATTTTGCACTGGTCCCTGCAAATTATGAAGCTTGCCCTGGGTAAGAATTATGCATAAGGACCTATGCTTTATCAAATCATTTTTGTCATTGTACTCATAAAATAGTCTTTGTGCCAAAAAACATGAAGTGACAATTCTTCTCAATGTACTTTATACATTTTCCCAATTGCTTTTGTTTGCAGCCTCAGCACCATTTGCACTCAGACTTGCACTTGGAGAAGTTTCATTACCATCAGAACGTAGCACCAAAGGAGTTGGAGAGCCCAGCACTCGGGCATTTGTCACCATACTTGTCACCACACACGTGTAATTTCCCACATCCGACGGCTCCACCTTAGATATGTAGAGGTGTCCTGTCTCCTGAGAGACAAATCTCCGACTATCTTCTTCAACAAACGATGGGTATTCATTGAAGATCCAAGCATATGACAGTTCTAATAAAATTGTTGAAGAGAGAAAGAAATTCCATCATCAAGGACAGTTTTCCATTGTGTCCTTAATGTATCTATACAAACATCAACTTTACTCCCAAGTAGTGCTGACTGTTTTTGTTGCAGGCCATGAAGAGAAGCAGTTAAGTGAAATAACTCTCCATGTATTCTTTATTATTATGGAGGATACCATTGATTAGTACCCTGGCGGGAGCAATATTATTTACTGTCATCACATCTCTGCTTCAGACACCTTTTAACAAGCTTCTCCGGTCTTGCTCAGTTTTAATTCATATCTCTATCCTGTCTGTACCATGATATCTCAAAATTAACAATCTAATCATGTCAATTCCTGACATCAAACTTTGCAAAGTTCTTTAACCTCTCAGGCATAACGCAAAATTGCTTAACCTGAATATGAGGTCCTTCATGGTTAAGGTCCTGCTCAAAACCTTAGCCTCTGAGAAGCCCCATGCTCTCTTTGGTCCCTGAGTCTTTTGCACATGCTGCTTCCAGGGCCTACAACTCCTGTTGTCTCTGTCCTGTCTTTGGCTTTCTGACTTTCAACACCAACTGCAATCTTTGAGATAACCTTCAAATGTTTTTCAAAGCTTGGTTCCAACATCAGGAATCACCTCCTCAAGTGAACTCTTCCTTAATCCTCCTTCTCTGGGTTGATGCTCCTATACAGAGTAATTCTAAGCTTATTTCAACTAAAACACTTATCAGTATGTAACATTCTACTTACTTGTCTGTCCTCCTATCACTTGTTAAACAAGCGATGTTAGTTTTTATTTCACCTGCCCTTCTCCCTCCTCCAAATTAGCAAAATGAAACACCCAAAGGCATTTAGTAGGTCCTCAATAAAGATTCATTCAGTTAGTTAAGGATACAATTATGCTACTGACTAACATCTACGTAAAATACAATATGAGAGTTTTCTTGAAGTTTACGGCCAAGGTGAATCAACTTTCTGCAAACGAACCATTGTTCTTTTTTTTTTTTTTTTTTTTTTTTTTGTGATAACGAGGACTAGATAATAATATGCCGCTTTGTTCTGGAGGCCCAGGTTGTTCAGCGCCAAGTTGAGATTTAAGCACAGTTACTGTGGTTGGTTTATTGGCTTCCTGCTTTCCTGAGCCCTATTATCTCTTAGTTGCATTAACTCTACTGTATTTATTCATTACTGTAGTGCTTTCCCAAGAGTTAAAAAAAAAAAAAAAAAAAAAAAAACTTTTGGAAAACATGGAATCAAAATAAATTTAATGAATAACATGTTCAAATATATTTAAGAGATAATTCTCATGGTGAAGGTCTTTCTTTTTGATAAAGGGAATAGTGCTAAGCACCTAGAAGAAATAAAACATGATGACTGATTCCCAATCACAATGCAGTGCAAATGCTTGATGTTTCCAAAAAGTAGCAAGCCAATTGCAAATTATACAGACATCCAGAAACACTGGTTTTAACCTCACACTGATCTTTAAATCATGCTGTCATACTGGTATAATGGTTCACGAAATTTCAGTCAGTCATGTGGTAAGTTGTGAGCTCTAAAATCACTTATTGGGTTGTATGAAGCAAATGTATCTCAAACATTAACTCTATGGTTATTCTCATGCCTACCCTGATGATGCTTTTCTCTTGCAATAGTATTGAATAAACCATAGAGGAAAATAATACTAGCAAGGTAAGTTGAGTTTGCTCTGCAGTTGTTAAAACTGGCAGCTGCAGTAGCAAGAGCCGTTCAGGGTCTTCCTGCTGCTCTTAAGCATCCATTTCCAACCCAACATTCCCCAACTCCTGCAACCTCACTTTGCAGTAAAGGAGAGAAAGCAATCTTTCTCTGCTTTCCAAAGTGTTCTACACATGAAACTAACAAGGTTGTTCTTCTCCCTTTTATCCAGCCAGATATCAACTGCTCTCCAATACAGTAAGCCTTAGCAGGGCATTAGGGATAAAAAGTCAATCCTATTAACCCAGTTTATACTAAAAAAAAAAGGTTGATAAAAAGAACTCCGATTCAGAGTCAGAAAACCTAAAATCTGGTGAATTCATGCAAGATAATATTATACATTAATGAGAATGTATGAACAATAACTCCACGCAACACTTGGAAAAAATATCACAAATATAATTCTGATTGAAAATGTTCAACTCAAAATATTTGCATAACTCCCTTTATAATGTGTATTTTAATCCAAAGGTTAATATTATTGATACTTAAAACGTTATTATATTGTTATAGAGATATTGTGGTGGCTTTGCCTATATGACACAATAACTGATTGGTAGGAGAAGGAAGTAAGCCAAAATTAAAATCATTTTAAGGCTGCTCCCAAAATGAGCATGAAGTGGATATGTACAAATCAAGGTGTAGACTGGTGCAGGCATAGAGGTTCCTCCTTAGGTTTCACTTCAAGAGAACCTGCGGCACAGAATACAGTTGACTGATGGCCTCTACCTGCTACCCCAGGAGCACTGTGGCCACACACCTCCCTGTGCTGCTCCTAGTACTGAACTGGGTGGAGGTGCTAATGCTGGCTCGTTCCTGCCCCATGAAGGATTTCTCTAATGGGTAACTTTGACTCAACATTTTCACAGCTTCATTCCCCATTTTCACAGCTACAGCACCCTCAGAACTGTGCTGTAGTCTGACATTCTTCCTAAACAAGTTTTCCTCCCCACCCTTTGTTCACCGACATGGGACCTGATTCGCAGTCTGAGGCTCTCTGCCCATTTCTGCTCCTTTACCTTTTTTCCTTTACAGACACTTCTCCAGTATTTTTCAATAAGTCTGATCCTTTAGTCCCATCTTGGTGTATGTGTCTCAGGGAATCTGAACACGGGGTTTCTGAAATTGAGTAACAGACTCTACTCTGCATTTAAAATTGTTCCTCCCCCTTGAATTCTGAGAGAATGCCCATTTTCATTGACTTCCTTTCGTAGGGATAACTGTCCCTCTTCCCAGTTTCCATCGAGATAATCCCCTCATGCCACTCCCATTCTCCCAATATGCAAACTGACTCCTGATTGATTCTTGGTACCTGTCCTCCAGACAAGTAAAGGCAAGACAGTATCCCAGAGAAAAACGGTGTGAGGCTACTCTGAGATCCCCACTGAAGAAAATTCGCCATTTACAGATCTCACCAACAAAGAAGAAAATATTTCACCTTCTCCATTGGCCAAAATGCTGTGCAGCCATAAACCTTCATATAAAATTTGAAAACAAATGGCAAGAAGCTTCTCTTTTGCAGAAGTTAGGATTTTTGCATTCTTTGTTTAGGAATTAGTGTAACTGGGCAAATTAGGAGGTCTATCTCAGAGTGGTATACTAATATCCCTTGAATTACACTGGGCTTACATTCTTAAACAACCACTCAATGCAAAATTTCAGTGATCCGAATAAAACTGTCCAGAAAATACACATCCTATATACTTCATAATATCGAAAGCCATTTTTAAAAATGGTTTTATAAACACTCCCTTTCTCTTTGTATCTTAGCAGCATAGTATGCATAGTTTTATATTAAAAGCACAATGGTCTACCTATTGAAATAATATGTAAATGAATAATCCAATTATCTTCCTCCACCAATTCTCCCAAACACAACCCCAGAAAATCAAGAGAGTAAAGATCCTTGACAAACAATGAAGAAAAACTAACTCTAAGGTTTTGAGCTTGGAAAAATGGAAGAAACAGGAAAAGTAGGAGGAACCACTCTGGCGCTGGAAAAAGGTATAGTAAAAATAGTCTTTGAGACTCAGACAGAGGATCTAGACACAAGTGTTCAATGAGTGGCTGGGAGATTCAAAGGTAAGCTTAAGAGAGAGTCTGGGCCTAATACTGGTGGGGTAGGCAGAATAAGTCCCCAGAAAAAGTCTACATTCTAATTCCTGAAACCTGAAAATATGTTACTTGACATGACAAGGGGGAATCCACAGACATGATTAAGTTAAAGATCATTTGATAGGAACAAACTTGGGTTATCCAGATGGGCCTAATGTAAACCCAAGAGTCCTTGTAAGAGAGAGGCAGGAGGGTCACAGTAAGGGAAAAGGAAACGTGACTACAGAACCAGGTGTGGTAGTCAGAGAATAACATTTCAATATGCTGTGCTCTTGGTTTGAAGATGGAGAAAGAGACCATGACTTAAGGAGTGCAGGTGGCCACTAGAAGCCAGAAAAGGCAGAAAAACAGATTGTCCCCTTGAAACTCCATAAGCAACATAGGCCTGTCAATTTCTTGATTTTTAGCCAAGTGAAATTGATTTTGGACTCTGGACCTCCAGAACTATAAGAGAATAAATTTGTGCTGTAGTAATTTGTTTCAAGAGCAATAGGGAAGTAATGTACATGGCAAAGGTGATTAAATTAGCCATCTTGCCGTGAATTAAGGTAGGTCCACTGTAATCACTGGGGTCCTTAAAGGGAAAGAGAGGGGCAGGAGAGTCAGAGAAGGAGGTATGACTACACAAACAGAGATCTGAGCCATATAATCACTTGCTGGTGACCAAGAGCAAAGGAACATGGGCAGCCTCTAGAAGCTGCTGCAAAAGGGAAGGAAATGGATTCTCCCCTATAGCCCCAAGTAATAAAGCCCTGCTGACACCTTGATGTTAGCCCAATGAGACTTGTGTTGGACTTCTAATCTACAGAACTGTAAGGGAACAAATGTGTGTTGTTTAAAGTAGCGGCGCCCAACCCCCCTGGTTCACGGACCAGTACTGGTCTGTGGCCTGTTAGGAACCGGGCCACACAGCAGGAGGTGAGCAGTGAGCAAGCAAGTGAAGCTTCATCTGTATTTACAGCTGTTCCCCATTGCTCACGTTACCTCCTGAGCTCTGCCTCCTGTCAGATCAGCGGCAGCATTAGATTCTCATAGGAGCACAAACCCTACTGTGAACTGCACATACGAGGGATCTGGGTTGTGTGCTCCTTATGACAATCTAATGCCTGATGATCTGTCACTGTCTCCCATCAGCCCCAGATGGGGTCATCTA